CTAAATATCGATTTCAATGGTATGACTTTTGAATTTTTGCATATTTACACCCATCAGCGATAATTTGAAGTAGTTTTGAGCAGTTTTGTTACTTTATTTCTAACACTTGGAATTACCGCCAAAACGAATTCCATGCTGATTTACGCATGTCGGTCAAACTGTTTGCATTACTTTTAAGTTCTAAGAATTACAAAAATTTGACCATGAAAGGCACGTCTTAGATGGAGTAATACTTGACTTGGTCCTTGCATTTCTAAGAGCAAAATGTACACGTTAATCATTGCTTAGTGTATACTTGTTCACTATATAGGATCCGTGATTGTTTTAATACTAGAGTTACTGTGTGTTTTTTCAGATCAAAAAAAAAAAAATATTACAAAGTATGTAAAGTTTTAGCATTTTTCCATGAAAAGCTTTGTAAAAGCCAATAGTCAATTTTGTGTGTGACTCAGATATTCATTCCGAAAATGGTCCTCATCAGTTTATTAATAAGGCCGGGATTAACCGGAATAAAATTTGGTTTCTAACTTCTTTCGAACTTGAAAAAAAATTGAAATTAAAATTTTATCTTTAATTGTGAACGACGTTCCACAGCATTTTTGGATATGTGGGTGACGGGCGGTTTCCCGAAAAATGTTTACGGAATGAAAACTCATACATGAAAATATGGAAAAAGTGCCAGTACTTTTTTAAGGTAATTTACTGTCGGCATGTATACGGTCAAATCACAAAAATCTTTTAACCTTAAACTTTTGATCGATCAAGGACTAAGCTTTTCTTTTCCAACTTTCGCCATGTCAAAAACATTGTTAGTTACAGTGGCCCATAAGGATAGAAATAGATGTAAGCAAAACGTGAATAGCTCTAATGTTAAGCATTTTTTATTCTTTGGTTGGAGCACTGAAAACTGTTTCTTAACAGAGTCGGCATCAGCAAACCCGGCTTGACTTACATATAAATGTGAAAACTCCGACCCGCCGATGTTAATCAAAAATACATAGTTTACAATCTATGACGTATAGAGAATTTATTACTTCGACGATATCGTTGGAGAAATGCTATAGACCTTGACGCAGCCACAATATAGGCATGACTTGCATAGATGTTCAAATTCCTAGCGATATTCGTGCAAATCTCTTAGTTATGGTGTTTTTACGCATTTTTTTTTAAATTCGCTTTGGCGAAGAAAATTTCAAGTTATTTCGAATCTTTTAGAAAATGTTGATTGAAGGTGGATGGGTATTCAATAATCACGCCAAGTAAATATATATTTTCTTTTTCTTTTTTTTTTTGGTTTTCTTTTCTTTTCTCATTTAGTGTAAATGCTTATTATATATATATACATATATATATGTATATATATATTTATTTTTTAATTTTCACTTTAGAGAAATTCATTTATTTATTATTATTATCTTCCTCTTTATTTATAGAGAATTGTTTTGCTCTTATTATAATTAAATAAGCTTTTAACTTTTGCTTTTTTAATTATTTAATAATACATATATCGCTTTGTTACTGCATTATGCAAATCTTTATTATAATATAGAGATTATATAACTTAAATTATTGCTTTTAGCTCCTTTTTGGTATTTTTATAGGGAGGTTTTTTCCCAATTTTTATTTATATTTACCTTTTAAAGCCAAAAAAAGAAAATACCTTTATTTCTTTTTTCTCACTTATAAAATAAAACGCCACGAGTTCAAGTCGAAGTACATTTTTTCATTCATATTTTGCACTTTAAAGCAAAAGCATAAATATATTTATATATAAAAGTGTCGATAAAACTATTCAAAAAAAAAAAAAAAAAAAAAATTAACGTTCAATCCTATAGCACTTTCAGTAGTCGTAGTTCTAAGCAGAATTCTAACAGAATTAGTTGCACTAAAAACGTAATAATATTGCATAACAATAGCGACAGCAACGGTACCCGAAACTATCTTACGAAAGAAAGACGCAATGCAACGCATTTCCCAATGGCTTATTGCAACAGACCTTATCTTCATCTTAACAAACTTAACAAATATTGCAAAGTCTTAAAATTCTTTAGTAATTCTCCTCAAGTTATAGTGCAATCAGTTCCGGATATGTGTATGCTAACTGAAAAAAAATTTCTGAAGATTGATCTCAATATTTGATCATAATACTACAATACGTTCATAGGCAATGCGTTCATAGTTTGCAAAGTCAATGCCATATCCCTTAAAAAAATAAAAGCAATAACAACGTATAATAGTGGTTGTAGTACAGTCGTAATAGTAGCAGTAGTAGCAGTAGTAGCAGAAACATTAATAGTAATAACAACTCTAATAGTAGTATTAATAATAAACAAGTAAATCAAACGATAGCGAATTTACGGAAGGAAAACTTAATCCTTGCGTTAAGCTTAGAAACAATCGGGACGAGTAACACTAATAGCGAATTCAATATTACGAGAAATATTACTAAAATGCCAGCCATAATAGGAATATAAACAATGGGAACGAAAGTCTGCAGGCTTTGAATGTGCGAGACATATACAACATCTATTGGGTCTGATAACACTTGCCATTGGATCTGCTATCACTTTTACACCTTTTCGATAGCTTTGTTTGCCTCTGTGAAGATAATATTGAAAAATTTGATACGATACTCATTGAAATGAATGAAGAAAGAAGGCTGAATTACTCCTAAAAACTCCTCCAAGTGAACTAATAATAGCGATTGTTGGGATACAAAGTCCATTCAAAAATAATATCGAATTGCTTCCTAGATGAGTTTACCTCACAATAAAAATAAAAAAGCTATATAAAAAGCAATAAACTCAAGTAGCGACTTCTTAGTGGCTATGGCTATGATCATGGAAGCAGTTATTACCAACTATTTATCAACATTTGTTTTTTTTTTGGTTTCAAATATGGCCAATCGGCAAGTAAATGTCTGCTGTACAGTCAGCAAGGAATGTCGAATGGTGATATACAGAGATAGAATAGTAGAAGCATTAGCAGCAGTGATTTTAATTGAATTATATATACGAGTATGAGATAATAGCGAAACTCCCCTAGATGATGTCCATAGATCATTGCACCTGAGCAAATGAGAGTTGAAAAAGTATTCACGGGAATGTTTTGCGATGTAACTTTGAGGCATAATGCATAGATAATAACAGATCTTCAACAAATCTTTAAGTAGATGCACTTTTTGGAGGAATTGATTACAGTTGTAATACTAGCACTTACAGATGTTGTAGGATGTCGATTAGATGTCTCATGTTTAATATTTCGAGTTTATTTCATTTCAATTCAGTTCAGCCACAATTTTTTTTAGATTCATCTGACCAATTACGTTTGCAATTGTAATAAGAGGCTTATGTTATTTCATTAACAAGTGACAATTAGAAGGTCGCGAAAGTCGCGAGAAAGTCTGCTAAATTTCAATTCAATACCTATTCAGGGATTGCCCGGGGTCGCAAAGGTATTATATCTATAATGTTCGCACAGTATAAGCGGTTCCTTTTATGGTTTGTATTGAATCCGATATGGAAATAAGATAATAAACGTCGTTCAAACGCCTGAAATCAACCTAAACTTCTCAAGCGAAAGTAAAGCTATTAGCAGCAATCGATCTTCGTCTGATGATTTTCAGGTGATGCGATCTGCGTACTTCACGGTGAATGTCTTAACGTAGGTAAGCAAATTAACAATTTCCTTTAAACTGCTTCGGTAGCGTCTACATGACAACGATAGAAGAGCGACCATGGCCGGATGGACGCGTAGATCTCTACATCTAACAAACGACATATGTAATCTTTTACCGATATATGGATCGCAAAACTTCTTCGATCGGCATTTTATAAAGCCAAGTACCGATCTAACTTTATTAATAGAGAGAGAAATGTGTAAATAAAAAACGGAGCTCAAAAAGTAACCTAAGATCGAAAAGCTTCCCTGTAATATCTGCAGCTTATTTCGTGATTCCTATTCTCTTATGGCAGATCAATGAGATAATGAGATAACATTGGGGACGACTCAGTCATAAGTGCGAGAGCGTTTACAAAATATGTCAAGCAAATAAAATAAGACTTTAAGGCTCGCTTGAGGAGGCAACTTTCTTAAGTTTACCCAAACTATAATTGAATTTCAATTAAGAATACATTCATTTATACACTATTGAGGATTTCTACTGAACACTTTTCAGGAATCAAGTCGCCATTGATGAATAGGACAACAATGCACCTACAATACTAACTCCATTTGATTGATTATTGGTTGGCTTTATGAGCATATGTTCAAGCCTAAGTGTTTATAGTAATACTTTTTGCCAGCAAGTGTGCGTTCGTTTTCAAGGTTTTTGAAACAAAAAAAAAAAAAAAAGAGACGAAACTTTACTTTAGGATATAACCTTTAGAAAATGTACAATTCAGAAGAAGTTGTATTAAAATGCAAAACGCTGTGCAGGCAAATGATTGCATCACGAGATATCTAGCGGCCATCAGTTTATTGAACTGAGCTGACACTGCATCTGAGCAAATGACGTACCAAAAAGCCTAGGAGACGTTATTTTACTTTTTACTTAGAAATTCAGAATCATTAAGCTTATTAAGCTTACATAGCCTCACTTTGAATGGCTATGTTATTGCGTGGCATGAAGTCTTGATATCTTTGTTCTTTCGAGTACAAATATCTGTTTTCGAGATCAAAAAACTGCTCCATTACAAATATTTGTTAGTTTTGAACAAACAAAAAAGGAAAAATTTACTTTTTTTTATTTGTTTTTTTTTTTTTGTTATTTTTCGTTTTTTTTTATTTTTTGTTTTATAAGAATTAATTTCTAGAAATCTCTACCAAACGTTGTTTTTTAACTTTGTCGTTTTTAGTTGCTTTTTATATAGTTTTTTTCTTTTTTTTTACATTTTATGTATATATTCTGTCAAAGCTTATTAATTATTTTTATATATCTAAGCTTAAGCTTATCCCGTGTATACGTACTACATATGTATATATATATATATATATATATACACATATATATAAATCATTAAAGTAATGCATTCACCTCATATATCTTAGATGTCCGTATTTGCTACGTATACAAAAAAATAGACTGTGAGCGTAATTATTCATCCGGAACGTTCCTCTGCGAAGCGTAACTAACTAATATACAAATTGGAATAGATTATCGCCTTCTTTATTGTATTGCATTTATATTGATTGATACGCCGAGACCTACCTTATAAATTCGTTTCAGTTCTTTGGGGTATCTTTGCGCCAGTGACGCCAATTCTAGTTGCCGTTGTTGTTGCATGTAGATCAGTTTCCATATTTTCGGTTCTTGTTGCTTTTATGGCTAAACGATTGTTACCTTTGGAAGTTATTGTGGATGTGGTTGTTATTGTGGTTGGGGTAATGCTTGTTGAGACAGTAGTAGTAGTACGTACCCGTTCCCCAATACCGGGTCCGATATTGGTATTGCTGAATAGCTTGATGTGCCTTAGAGAGTTACTTGGCCGACTAGAAATGGTGCTATTACTGAACGTGGTCGCGGTAGTGGGCGTGGTGTGTACACGTGTAGTTCTCATAGACCATTCATTTTGCTTCAGCAAAAACTGCTTGACATTGTATTCCATTTGGGCAATATCTACATTCTGGGTGGTTGTATGCAGTTCCGCTTTAATGGCACGAGTCTTATCACTATCGTTAGGGTAGTATTTGTAATTAAGAATATCACAAGTCGGCTGCTCGGGTATAATTTGTGATGATTGCGAACTTGAGTCTGGATTATCCGAACTACAAGTAACGACAGTGTTGGCTGCAGTCGCGGCGGTGTAGGCTACTGGTAGACCTGATCGCGAAGTTCTCCGATAATAAGTTTGGGGTGTGCTATAGATTTGCGAGTTTTCTTTTAATTGCGTTGTTACAATCATATCACCATTGTCGACATTATTATCCGACTTAGGTGACAAGGACTCATCTGAGGTTTTTATAGTATCATCTTGACTGCTGTTAGCCAACGCGGTAATTTGTGGTGTAGTTTTATAGCCCGAATCTAAAGATAACTTTTCGACGGATACCGAGTCCAATTGATCGAGTGTTGAAAAGGAAGAAGGCTGATCCGTACCAGAGGAGTCGCACTGTATTAAAGTACTTAACACTTGCTGTTGCTGTTGTTGACGTTCCATTTGTTGCGAGTTATTTTGTACCCACTCGGCTACACGGCTTAGCTGTTGCCTACGCATTAAAACGCTCTCTTGAAAATCGATCGCTTCACTTAGCGAACTCGATTGCGTGCCAGTGTTAGTATTTGAAGATTTCTTCGAGCTCACCTCAAAGCCGTTTGGTGTAACACCTAATGTTTTAGTTTCGTCAATTTCAGTCTTGATTTCATCTCCAATAGTATTAGATACAGACTCTTTTACAGTAATTTTCGTATTCATAGAAATAACTTCCACAGCACCACCGCCAGTGTCATTAACATCGCTTACCATTTTTAGTTTTCCCTTAGTTGTAACATTTATCCCGTTATTACTATGCTTAATACCTTCCCCGTTGTGAGGGCTTAAGCCGGTTTGGGAAGACGTTATTACCTCTTTACCGTCCTCAAGTTCCTCGTCCAATAAACGCTCCCTTCGTCTATAGATAATAGGAGTGACTGCCTCAATAGACTCTATATTATCCAATAGAATATTGCTTTGTCCATTTTGTTGTATGCGCATAGCGCACAAACGTGGTCCTCGATTTTTGGGATTTTCAGCCTTGAAGCAAATTAAATTTGAATTCTCAAATTAATTTCTCTTCACTTCATCACTTACCTTAATCGTCTTTATGAGATTTCTGTTGAAAGTTTCAAACATTTTTGCACCTTCGCAACCACTGCTAGTCCTACTCCATAGACTATTCGCACTGCCGGTTATGTGCGATTTTAAAAGACTATTCGCATGAGACTTTATCGCACTGCATGTGCTGGCCGATGGCGATTTCATATGCTCCCTATCCTTTAATTTAATTTGAGTTTTTAGTGACTCTTCACAGTCTTCTAATAAATTACTATGCGAACGCGAATTGCTTAATAATGGTTTAGCTTCTTCTTCCAACTCCTCATTACCATTTAAGTCTTCGATAGTTTTCTTTTTAGTAAGCATAGTATGTTCTTCTAACATATCAAGTGCGGTACCACCACCGTCCATAAAACGTCTTTGATGATAGCCTACAGTTGCTGTCTTCATATTATCTAACACAACGCTATATGTGGTTTTTTGAGTAGCTTTTCCCGTTGTCGCTCCGCCGGCTAACGTACGCTCGCATAGTCTATGATGCCCCAAAATTGGATTTACCATTAGATCATCCTTTTTAGCCGGCGTAAATAGTTTGTCAGCATCGTTCAAATCTGACATTGAACTTTTGGTTTCTGATATAACTGAATCACTTGACTTTAATAAATTCTTAGTAGCGTATGGACTATTAGTGCGTGAAGGTGAGTTCAAATTACTGTAACAACGTAAACACAATTGCGTTAGAGGTTCATTTAAGTTACCGCTACTGCTCGTATTCAATGTAAATGGAGTTTGCGTGGCGACAGTATAGGATCTCGTCAAATCGGCGAGCACTGTTAAATCCTTGGAACATTGACATGTATCGCAATGCTTCACTTCACCAGCTTTCAGCTCATCTTCCAGATAACGAGCCATAATCACCGGCGATATCATATCGTTATCGTTTATAACATTTATGTTTGCATTCAATGATGACATAGAATTACATACGGATGCTGTTGTTATTGTTCTCGCTGCTACGATTAACGATTCATTGCCATTGAGATTTGTGTTGTTCGTATTTATAGTCTCGTTAACACTATTATTCATATTATTGTTATTATTATTATTACTACTATTGCTATTATTATTATTATTGTTGTTTTGATTGTTATTATTATTATTATTCTTGTTGACGGTGTCATTATTATTATTATTATTATTATTATTATTATTATTGTTATTGTTGTTTTGATTATTACTACTGTTATTGTTAGTGTGATTATTATTCAGATTCAAAGATGTTTCAGAATTGCGTTTAGCATCTGTTGGTAAAATAAACAATAAAAGGAATATATTAGATAAGCATAAAGACACATACATACAAAACATATTACAGCAATCGTTGTCAAATAGAAAGTATATATATATATACATATATTATTTATTATGTATATACTTTTAAAAATTATTAATTTTTTTTTTTTTTTTCGAAGAAACGTTTCCCCTACCAAAAATGTACATATAGCGTAACATAATAAAAAAAAAGAAAGAATTGTATTTACTGGGTACGTAAATATGAAACCGGAAATAACGGACATATATGCCTGAAGCTGTGCGGTTCTTTATAGTTTGGACATCTGGCAACAATCAATGGTCGTAATATCAGCAGAAATCGCAGCACAAAAATACCCTTTTTAACAACGAAAATGCCGAATTTGTGTGATGGGCCATACTTCGCATAAAAATATATATTTATCAATTTCATATAAAAAATTTATATTTTCTACACAGAAATTTCGGTTTCAAGTGCATATACCTGGCATTGAGGGGTAACAAGTTAAACGAAACAAAATTATCATATGACTCTCTATAGCTTAGCGAAGAAGTGTCAAAACGGGCATACATTTACTAGGACCTTATTTTTTACGTAAAATTCGGAATAATGCTGAGCGAATCCTGACACGACACGCAAGTATTCATAAAGCAATTTTTCAAATAACGTGTTCTAAAAAAGTGGTTCGATCCGGAGTACAGTCAATAGCATTTGCCCTTGGGCCAAAAAGCATCAGTGTAACAAATATTCTCAAAATATCTCAAAACTTGCAGCCTGAAGGTTAAAGACAAAAAAAACAAAGGTAGACAGACGAACAGACGTACAGACAAGCTTAAATCAGTATGATTAGTGGTCTCTCATTTCAAGTTCTTCCGAATGTTGATTACATTCGCACAAACTTATATTCATCAAAGACTTAAACAAAAATGAATGGGTTTTACGGAAAGGAAATTTGATTGATTTCAGGGACTTGAAGGGAGAATGGCATTATGATAAGGAGAATTTTTGGCAGGAAACCAATACACGCTCGCATGAAAAGTAAATATATCTTTTTTTTTGCGGACTCACAAGTTTAGTGGAAGATCGAAACAGGCTTATACTTAATCGCCAGTAATGGTAGCTCGCCAGGAAAAGCAAGTAAAATAAATAGAAATAAAAATATATGCAAAGAAACGTGCAGAAACCAGCACTGATCCGATGTTTTGCTTATGGTATTGGCTTATAGGTAATCTCTTTATGAGTTGACAAAACTTCCTTCGTCTTCCTTACACTATTAACTCAACGTGTGCTTCTGTCAGTTACTATGCTGTACAATTTTGCCTAATACCTTGTATAAAATAACTAAAAAATTTCGAAAATTGTCAAAGTAAATCGATGTAATTTTGTAAATTTTTTCCAAGTTAATTATGGGTATCTTATGGGTATTTTATTTGCGTTAAGCCCCAGAAGGAAAATAATTTATATGTCTATTAGCAGAAAAGAAAAGTATAAAGTCAACTAAATAAATTATCATGTCTCCTATAAAGAGCGCAAGCAACCGCTTAACAATGGGAAGCTCTGAAAGCCACTAAATATTCAATAGCAGTTGTTCTTTGATATTAAATTCAAGTAAATATCGAAAAACAAACTATAAAATTTTCTCAATATTCTGCCCTGCGATATGGCAAAATAAATTTAATTTCATTAACGTTTAAAAGTAGGCAAGGAATTTTTTTTCGTCAAACGCGTAACTTTTTATGCTTCATTAATATCTTAATTTTATTAAAAATTATTACAAAAAAAAATATGTAAATAATTAAACTTTATTTTAAAAAATGAAAACAACACAATTAACGATAGTTAAACAAATTAGTACAATAAATAATAAAAATTGATATTTCAATAGCAATTAACGCTTAATGAAAACCATAAAAATCTCTTATTGGTTTTGCAAAAAAAAAAAAAGTAGCGACAGACAAACAATCACAGAAATGAGAATAAAGAAAAACAAGTAGGTATATAGTCGGGCAAAGCCGATAATTAGATACCCTACATAACTTCGCCTAGTACCGTTTACTTTTCATGAAAGCGCGCATATCAGAGGACGCCCAAAACATCACATGACATGATCCAAATTTAAGCAGCGCTATTTACTTCGCAAGAATTTTCCATTCTTCTGTTTTCATCATGAAAAACTAGAAATAAGGACTTGTTTTCCGGAGAGCCCCTATATATGCTAGAGTTTAATAAATAGAATTCCTACAAGTATTTTTTGCTAAATTATTTCCACGGATGAATTTTCGTCATAAAATATTACAAACTAAACCTCTTTCTGAAGGCCTTAGTATTCATGAGAAATCATATATGGAGCGGACTCCAAGGAACACACTCATGTAGTTTAAATTTGGTTCACTTAATTGTTATTTCAATTTACAATCACAATTAGGCCGGTTTGGACATATAGGGGCTTACATATCCTGAGAATCTTTATATGTGGTAAATTAGGTGAGGTTGATTTCTTTGTCAATTTATTATTATAAATCAATTTTCGTCATAAAATATTGAAAGTTATACCTTTTTACATTATAAAGATTCAGTTTTAAGTTAGTTAGTTATATGAGAGAGCTTTCAAAAAATTGCCCTTGCCGAACCAAAGTTTTCATACCAATTTAGCATGGTGGAATGGTCGAAAAAATGAACCAATCCAAACCATTTTCAATAGCGTTTGTCCTTGAGCTAACAACACAAGTCGGTAGGTATATCTATCCACTTTATCAAAATATCTCGAAAATTTCGATGTGTAGATTGAACACAACAAGACATGGGCAGACACCATGCGGACAGATGGGCAGATGGACACACAAGTTTAATTAGATACAATAAAAGCTGGGTGCATCTTGAGCCCTTCTCGATGTTACGTACAAATCGCATACCCGCGTATCGCAAGTTGTGTAGGGTATCAAAAAGGAAATAAATAACACACACACAGAAAGAAAATACTCGCATACAAACCACAATAATTTAAAATAAATAACGTTAAATAACTGAAAATAAAATGAATAAAACAAGAAAAGGTAGCGAAGTAAAAAAAAAGAAGAGGTTTTGTCTACTAACACTTACCAAGGCCCCTCATTGAATAAACCATGGCGGTTGGTGGAAAGGGGCAAGGCGCCGGCGGTGGTGAATCGGAAGCAGGAAGCACTTTATAGGCAGCTGTAGTTGTAACACCCACACCTGTAATACTACTCTCCGAATCTGAATGCGAATTCGTTTCCAAGCGCATATAAGCCGAAACCTTTGATTGTATATCGAGCGGTAGCTAAAAAATTTTAACACATATATCTTGTTTATTAACTGCCAGCTATTAAGAAAATAAACAAAAAGGACATACCGCAGATACTTTTTGTGGTAGAAAACTATCAGGTTTACAGTGCAATAATTGTATGGCCAAGCTAATATCAGCTTTGTAACGTTCCTGTTGCAAAAGAAGAGGGACATTGATACTTTTTATATTAAACGAAATTCTATAATACGTATGTGTATGTGTATGTTTGAAATTCAAATGCTCTGAATATACTTTAGTGTATTTTGATATTATTGTACATATTGTCTGTGCAGTCATTTTTTTTTTTTTTTCTTCTTCTTTTTTTTCCACAATGCGAGCACATTGAAGAGATGCTATGAGTTAAAGAGAAAAAGCACGAAAAAGAAATGGAAAAAAATTGTCCAGAACTAAATACCATTAACAACTAGTTTGCTGGTAGTTGGAACTCAGTTGAAATTTTTACACGTTATTGTTATTAGTCCGGATATTAGGGAGTCTATAACAATGCACATGCTATTAACTTATCCTGCCTATTTGGAACGCAACATGCAAAAAAGTAGTCATCAACGCGACGATAAAGTGCGATAAAGTGCATCGCGTCATTAATGCTAATGTTTTGTTCAATCGTTTATTTCCACACATAAGGACTATTGTATATCGAGCGGTAACTGAGATTTGTGCCAACATTTTATTAAAGATATATGTAATTATATATTTTGACCATAGGGAAAAAACACAAAACAATTTATCGATATATATATTTTTCATTTTCCATCTAGCAAAGCAAACACTAATCGCAAACTTATCAAAGCAAATGTACCGGATACGGATAGATCGTCGTCACTACAGCGGCTCGTGGAACTTCGAAGCAAGTTCTCCTTTGAAATGTTGGCGTAAATTTTTAACTTTCATTTAACGTCTAGTGCTTCGCATATTCGAAGCAGGAGTAACGAAAGGATGACAAGGAAATGCCAATAAAACATATCGGAATATATGCGAATTTCCTCCTCTGTAGATATTTATATTCAATATATTATATATAGTCAAA